CATGACTAATGTGGAAATATTTTTAATATGGGTGTACATGTATAGCCTATATCAGATTGCATACCATCTTGGGAAGGGGGGGATTTAGAACTCAAAATCTTATAAAAGTGAATGTTGAAAACTAATAAATAAATGGGGAAAAAAGAGTGGTTGGATCAATTCACAGCTTCACCAACAGTACATCAGTGTCCCAGTTTTCCCATGTCCCCTCCAACATTTATCATTTCCCTTTCTGTCATATTAGCCATTCTGATAGGTGTGAGGTGGTACTTGAGAGTTGTTTTAATTTGCATTTCTCTAGTCTAATCAGTAGTGATTTAGAGCATTTTTTCATGTGACAATAGATAGCTTTGATTATTTTTGTCTGAAAACTGCCTGTTCACATCTTTGACAATTTATCATTTGAAGAATGACTTGTCTTCTTATAAATTTGACTCAATTCTCTATATATTTGAGAAATGAGGCCTTTATCAGAGATACTTGCTGTAAAGAAAAAATTTCAGTTTTTTGCTTCCTTCTAATCTTGGTTGCATTGATTTTGTTTATGCAAAAACTTTTTCATTTAATATTCAAAACTACCCACTTTACATTTTGTAATTCTCTCTCTTGTTTGGTCCGAAATTCTTCCCTTATTCATAAATCAGACAAATAAACTATTCTGTGCTTCACTAATTTGTTTATGGTATCACCCTTTATGTCTAAATCATGTGCCCATTTTGACCTTATTTTAGTATACAGTGTGAGGTATTGGTTTATACCTAGTTTCTACCATATTGTTTTCCATTTTTCTAGCAGTTTTTGTCAAATGGTGAGTTCTTGTCCCAAAAGCTTGCATCTTTGGGTTTAACAAACACTAAATTACTATGGTCATTTACTACTGTGTAGTGTGTACCTAATCTATTCCGCTGATCTGCCACTCTATTTCTTAGCCAGTATCAAGTTGTTTTGATGATTACCACTTTATTACACTTTGAGATCTGGTATATCTAGGCTACCTTCACTTTTTAAAAATGTAATTCCCTTGATATTTCTTGACTTTTTATTCTTCCAGATGAATTTTTGTTTTTGTTTTTTTGTTTTTTTCTAGCTCTCTAAAACAATTTTTTGGTAGTTTGATTGGTATGGCACTGAATAAGTAGATTAATTTAGGTAGAATTTTCATGTTTATTTATATTGGCTCAGCCTAGCTATGAACAGTTGATATTTCTTCAGTTGTTTAGATCTGACTTTATTTGTGTGAAAAGTGTTTTGTAATTGTGTCCATATAGTTCCT